TGTCAACCAACCACAAAGCGCTTAAATGAGTTTTTCAATGCTATTGGCGCACGAAAATTTTGAGCAGTAGGTACAAACATACAGTAATGGACATAAGTATATAAACAAATATGAATATTTACCTAAATACCTTTAGAAAACGAATTCATACTCCATTCCTCCATAAACAAATGCGTTATTAGTAGAAAAACTAAATTCCTTGTTTTTACATTATCTGCAATGAACACAATACAAGTCTGAATATAAGCACTTTTTTATAAGGGACAAAAATATGCAGACACATTCTTTTCAATATTAGTTTAGTACAGTTTCTTGTCAGAAGAGGATTAGTTTGTGTTCATCAAGCATTGTGGAATAAGTTGAGTGATTTTAATACCATGCCGTGTGGTCGAGAAATTTCTCTCGATGTGAAAACTAAAATCATTGAGTTATGCAAAGATGGTCAACGTCAAGTCGACTCCGCTAAAAATTTGCAGCTGAAGCGCAAAAAAGTTTGGGCAACATTGAACTAATATAAACAAAAAGGTATCTTGGAAGCCTCTAAGAGAAGTGGTCGGCCTAGAGAACTAAATGCTAGATCAGTTAGATTAATAAAAGTAATTTCGCCCAAAGATCCGTTTATAACCCCAAAATAAATAAAAGCCGAAATCGAGACAAAAGGAATTGACAGTGTTTCTACGAAAACTATAAGTATAGTCAACGCCAAACAAAGTGGCGTGCACGTCATCACGATAAAAATTCCCCGACCTAATGCCTAGGTTTCTATCACAAACAATCTCTATTGCAGTTTCATATTAATGTGATATATAAATTGTAAAATGGTCATTACTCTCTTATTATGGTTAATAGTCATATAAACATTGTTATTAAAATATCACATAAGTTGCTTTCTGATAAATTTAGACGCATTATGCGAAATAAAATGTTTTGCAAACGCTCCAATCACTTATCGACATGTAAACGCACTAAACCGATTTCGCAGCGTTGACACATTGTCACCTTGAAACTTATTTAAACTGGGAACTGACATTTGTATTAATTTTGACACTGAATCAATTTGTGGCATTTCAAATCTTTATAAATCCTTTGGCCCCGCATACTGTAAATCAACAACTGTTTGTTTCAAAACAAAATTATTCATTTTACGAGTAGATAAAGGCAATTTTGGTATATAAAGATGCCCAAACAGTTAAATAGTCGGTGTAAGGAACTCGTGGCCTCGTTAATGCACTACTTTGAGCAAGAAAGGGACAACAACGGGCCTTTGTTGCCTTTAAATGCTGTTCAAGAGGTAGGTTACTAATAATTATATGTAATGTATATTAATAATAGTGAAATTTTATTTCATTTTTTGTAGCGTGTTGCTGCGGCTTTAAAAATTAGTTTAAGGACAGTTAGTCGTATTTCCGAGGGTGTGAAAAGTGATGCAAATTTAGAATCGCCCAAGAAAAAGCGGAGTTATATTAAACGTGTAACCAACACAGCGACATTGGATACAAGTGCCATTCGAGAAGTGATCTATAATATGTATCACAAAAGTAAGATCTTATTATAATAACTTATCAGAAATTTGCATTGATTTGTTAACTAAATTATAATGTCATATTACACATGGTTTCAGAAGAACAAGTTACGATACAAACTTTATGGTCTCGATTAAGAGATAGGGCATTATTTGATGGTAGTGCCACGTCTTTAAGGCGGTTGCTTAGAGATCTTGGATTTAAGTGGCTTAAGGACAATCCGCGACGAGGGCTCATGGAACTACCAAGTATAGCTTTGAAAAGGGTGGAATTTCTAAGGCAATACAATCAAGCCAAGGTTGAGGCCTTATACCAGTTTGCCTTCCTCGATGAAACTTGGATATTTCAAAATGGGACCATAGGTCGCTCTTGGCAAAATGGAAACCAAAAAAGCGTGAAAGCTATTAAAACAGATGGTAAAAGGTATGTACTTTTACACAATTTGCACTATAAAATTTAAAACGAATACATTTTAGATACATTATATTACATGCTGGAAATGAAAATGGGTTTATTGAGGGTAGTGAAGCGATATTTTCTTCGAAAACAAAATTGAGCGATTACCATGGAGAGATGAACCAGGACAATTTTTTTAAATGGTTTCAACATCAGTTATTAGAAAAATTGGAGAGTCCATCTATGATTATACTGGATAACGCCCCTTATCACAGCATGATATTGAACAAAGTGCCCAACAATGCATGGACAAAAAAAATATCCAAGACTGGTTGACAAATCAAAACATACCATTTTTAAACACAATGTTTAAAACAGAGCTATTGAGTATTGTTGCTCGGTACATAATGCTTCTTAATTATATATATTTTGGTCGACAGTTTATATTTCTTTTGTTTATTCCTATTCTTAAAATAACTGCTTTTTTAGAAACAAACCACCTAAAATATACGTGATTGATGAATTGGCGGAACAACATGGGCACAAAGGTCTTCGTCTGCCTCCTTACCATTGTATATTTAACCCTATTGAGTTAATTTGGGGCATAGCAAAAGGTTACTATAACAGACATATTGGTAGAGATGGTAACAGTGAAAAAGACTGTTTGGATATGTGGAACGAGGCTCTACAAACGGTTACCCCAGACATGTGGAAAAATAGTGTTCGACATACTGAGCAAGAAATTTTTAAATGGTATGAAAGAGAACGAATTTTTGATCGACCAGACATCGAACCTTTAATAATCAACTTTGAGAGTGATGAAGATTCAGATTCAGACAGCGCTGAAGAAAGAAACTCCGACTAACTTTATTGTACAGAAAAAGCTTACACCAGTAGCTTACCTAATTTTAGAATGCATTTTTCTGTATGAATTCTGTAAAATAAATACCATGCATAAAATTTGGAGGACCCCATTTGGATTTTTATTCAGTACCTTTAAGCTATAAATTAAATATGGTAGTTTCATAGTGTCATCTGATCAATAATTGTCATACTTAATGATTATGCAAGTACAGATCTATAATTTTATTATACTATTATTTTTGTTCTCATTTGAGGTTAATATTGCTTATAAACCTAGATATGTAAATAATAAATTTTATTATTTTACAAAAAGTTTGGCAACAATGTAAATTTTTCAACACACCCACCTTGATGACGTGCACGCCACTTTGTTTGGCGTTGACTATAGAAGATTAAATGATTTGAAGTTATTTGCACGTCGCCCGAGTAAGAAGCCGCTAATCACGAGGAAAGACCGTAAGAACCAATTACAATTTGCACAGTTGCATCTTGATTGGAGCATCTGTGACTGGATGAGGGTATGTTTTAGTGACGAATCCAAGTTCAATATGTTTTGGATCAGATGGTGTTCACTACGTTAGACGTCCTAGTGACAAAGATTAAACCCCAAGTACACTTTGCCCACTGTCAAACATGGAGGCGGGTCTGTTGTGGTTTGGGGGTGCTTTTCGGGGTTTGGGATGGGACCTTTACATAGAATAGATGGCATTATGGATAAGTTTGTATACACAGACATACTAAAGCATGTCATGTTACTCTATATGGAAGACAACATACTCCTAAGATCAATCTTCCAGCAAGATAATGACCTGAAGCAACTTCAAATCTCGCAAAGAAATTCTTTCTGGATGAAAAAATACCAGTTCTCAAATAGCCTTCACAGTCTCCCGATATAAACAACATTGAAAATCTATAGGAATACTTAGATAAGCAAATACGAGATATAAATTATTCAAACAAGGATGAAATTTTTGCCGCTTTAGACCAAAAGTGGTGACATATTGATGAATCTTATAGCAAGGAACTTCTATAATCTATGCCGAGACGATGCCAGGCGGTGATTGATAATAATGGTTATGCTACAAAATATTCACACAAACATGTTTGGCTTTCTATAATTCAATGAACTTTGTTTCTTTTTTCTATAATTGTTTTGCTTGGTCTATATATTTTTCTCCTTCATAGGTCCAGTTTTTTTCAATTAATTTTTTATTGATGGGAGTCTAATGAATTTATTTATGTATAAGTGAGTTTTATGCTATAACAAATTATGTATACAGGTTGGTGTATTAATAAAACAAGTTAAAAAAGAAATACAGCACAATATTAATTTGTCTATATACTTTTATCCATTACTGTATGTTACCAATGAGGAACTAAAAGTATTTCTCTCTTTTTACTACTGAATAAGTTGACGAATTAATAGCTTGTGACGAATTCAATATGATCTAAACTATAAATAGTTAAATGGTTAAAATATAACCCTAATGTTACATAAGAATGCCTAAACTGGCACAAATAAAATTACTGATCTCAGCTCAATTCTCGTGGTTGTGTTTTCAGTCTGTACGAGATTAAGATAGGCCTAGCAAAGTAAAAAAAAAATCATGGTTACCTCAAACAATGGGGGTTCACAGAAATGGGGGACTGCTCCTCGTAGACGTGATTTCTACGAACCGACCGCTTCGGAGTATCAATGAAGCCAGTTCTTCTGTATATAATTAGAAATCATGTTGAGAAGGGCTGCGACAACAAAATTCATCAAGTTAGGCAGATTTCTATCAAAATCTCCACAACCCGATAAATATCCAGCACTGGGTGTGAAATTATTTCACTGCCGCGGGCTGTGGGCCTCTGAACTCCTACACGAGAGCACCTTCAGCTATCGTATTTACGGTCGACAGGAATTATAAAAATGACCTTTAACGAGATGAAGAGTGGAGTACGATTTTCTACCATAGACTTATTAGACCAAGAGAAGTGTTTTGCTTTAAAAATAAAATTCAATATTTTCAAGAACTGTTATAAAATTATTATTCTAAATAACAGGAACGTTGTAATAATTTACTTTATCAAGATATAGTTAGTTTTTAGTTGATCATAAACAGAAACTGTAACAAACTAACCATCAAAATCCTGTTGTATGTTATATTAATCTTCTTTTGGAAGTTTCTATGAGTAAGCAATAAAATATAGAACAATTAATTTGAAAGAAATGTCAAAATACGTCATCCTTCTGAATACTTCACTTTACGATTTAACCGATGCAAATTTTGGAAAGGCAATGGAAAATATAGATAATACACGAGATATAAAAATGGTAACACGTTGTGGGACTGCAAGGTATTTATTCATTAAACATCTACTTTTGAATATGTCCATGCCTTTCATCCTTCTCATAATTTTCACACGGTCAGAAACTCATAACACTAGACTAGAAAGGGCTATTGAAATCGTCTATAATGTATAAGCATTTTCTCCTTTATACCTTAGTTTATAACCCCATAATAAAACGTAATCACTTGTTTACTCGGAAAGAACTTGAACTTAACGCATCCTAAAAGACAAAGTTTTAAGGGTACAAACTTTAAGAAGTAGGCAGAGGAAGTAAAATATTGCTCGGTGATAAACTTTCTCGTGGACCGAGACAGAGACAAAGCTTTGCAAATACAGAACAGTTGGCAAAGTTTACCGACACTGCATGCAAATGTTTATTTCAATATAACTTTTCAGTCAATTTCAGATGTCACGAAAGTTTCGAGTAAAAGAATAAGTTTGTCCAAGAATATCGTACAGCTCTTTAGAAGCCAGCTCAGTGGAAACTTAGTCACCGCAGTTGGTCAATTTTACTTCTTCTAGAGGAAGATATTGTTTTCACGTTCTCAGATTTCTCCTTATTATTTAAGCCGAATTGTAAAACAACCACAAACTGCGATTATATTTTTGGAGTGCTTAAGAACATTATTTCTATGAAGCAAACTTGCTAGAAAGATTAAGCTTCGCTTCCAGTCGTTAGTCTACTTTTGGATTATTCAATTTTTGCAGATCTTCCTCTCCTTTGCTTAAAGACGGATATCTGTTTGTGTAACTATTCTAATCCAATAGGAATCATAGATATCGCGAAATTTTTGGTCTTCTAATGCCTTTTTCATAAAGAACGGAATATAGCTTTTGTCTTTATAGTCATTCCCTGTTCATATTGCATACACGGTACAATTCTTTCTATGGTTGCCAGAACTTTGTATTTGCTATTTACGCATAAATTGGTATACATACGTTATGCGTTGAATGAACAAGAAAAAATACATCTGTGTGATGAAAAATGCATGTGAAACAAATATGCAGCCTAGAGGGGTTAATCAAACTCCAGGCCAAGCTTCAGAGAGTGGTTGCTAGGATAATTCTAAGGAAAAGTTAATTTTTTGTGGAAAATCATTCGATTCTATCTAACTTATTGATATTTACCAACTTAATTCGTAGCATCAAGAATTTAACTAAAACCACTCAATAAAAATGCCTTATTAAAGCTACAAATCACCATAACGATTTAGGTTACCTGATTTGGATCTGTTGTTTTCTCTTTTAAAAATTTAAACTTTATTGGTATATTGATCTTATCCATCTCAATCTCAATTTGAAGCTTCACATCTAAGCATGCAACAAATTCGAACAAAACGGGCTGGAAGCCTATTGAGACTTTTATTGTTAATTGGTTTTTCGAAAAAGTTCCATACCTTGTGAAATCGAGCATTTCATGTTTACTTGATTATATAAAATAATAGGCAAAATCCGCAAAAAGAAGAAAAGTGGCTTCGAGCAGAAATTAGGATAGGTAACTCGAGCAATACGTATTTCTGCTTGTTGGCTTCATCAGGCCCGAAATGAATGCACATATGCAACCTCAAAAGTAGATATATATGCCCATACATCCGAATACCGGTGGAACCTGAGGAAACGAAGATGAAAAGGGTAAAAAATGACACACGAGGTCTCCAAACTCTCCCCCACACTTTGCTTCCTTTTGCGGATTTTGCCCATTATTTTCCTATTTTTTGTTATATACCTTTCTCCGCATGATCATTTTCTGTTTAAATATGGTTTGGGTTTGAGGTACCACAGCAAGTGGCTATAACCGGCCGCGTGGTTGTGGTTAGATGTCGCCTTGACTTTTCTTCCAGCCATTTTTTACTACAATGTGTAGGTTGGCTCTTGATAGGGACTTCGTGTATCATTTTTTTTCCTCTCCATTTTCGTTTCCTCAGGTTACACCCGTATCCGGATGTTTAGACATTGTCCATGCCTTTCATCCTTCTCATAATTTTCACACGGTCAGAAACTCATAACACTAGACTAGAAAGGGCTATTGAAATCGTCTATAATGTATAAGCATTTTCTCCTTTATACCTTAGTTTATAACCCCATAATAAAACGTAATCACTTGTTTACTCGGAAAGAACTTGAACTTAACGCATCCTAAAAGACAAAGTTTTAAGGGTACAAACTTTAAGAAGTAGGCAGAGGAAGTAAAATATTGCTCGGTGATAAACTTTCTCGTGGACCGAGACAGAGACAAAGCTTTGCAAATACAGAACAGTTGGCAAAGTTTACCGACACTGCATGCAAATGTTTATTTCAATATAACTTTTCAGTCAATTTCAGATGTCACGAAAGTTTCGAGTAAAAGAATAAGTTTGTCCAAGAATATCGTACAGCTCTTTAGAAGCCAGCTCAGTGGAAACTTAGTCACCGCAGTTGGTCAATTTTACTTCTTCTAGAGGAAGATATTGTTTTCACGTTCTCAGATTTCTCCTTATTATTTAAGCCGAATTGTAAAACAACCACAAACTGCGATTATATTTTTGGAGTGCTTAAGAACATTATTTCTATGAAGCAAACTTGCTAGAAAGATTAAGCTTCGCTTCCAGTCGTTAGTCTACTTTTGGATTATTCAATTTTTGCAGATCTTCCTCTCCTTTGCTTAAAGACGGATATCTGTTTGTGTAACTATTCTAATCCAATAGGAATCATAGATATCGCGAAATTTTTGGTCTTCTAATGCCTTTTTCATAAAGAACGGAATATAGCTTTTGTCTTTATAGTCATTCCCTGTTCATATTGCATACACGGTACAATTCTTTCTATGGTTGCCAGAACTTTGTATTTGCTATTTACGCATAAATTGGTATACATACGTTATGCGTTGAATGAACAAGAAAAAATACATCTGTGTGATGAAAAATGCATGTGAAACAAATATGCAGCCTAGAGGGGTTAATCAAACTCCAGGCCAAGCTTCAGAGAGTGGTTGCTAGGATAATTCTAAGGAAAAGTTAATTTTTTGTGGAAAATCATTCGATTCTATCTAACTTATTGATATTTACCAACTTAATTCGTAGCATCAAGAATTTAACTAAAACCACTCAATAAAAATGCCTTATTAAAGCTACAAATCACCATAACGATTTAGGTTACCTGATTTGGATCTGTTGTTTTCTCTTTTAAAAATTTAAACTTTATTGGTATATTGATCTTATCCATCTCAATCTCAATTTGAAGCTTCACATCTAAGCATGCAACAAATTCGAACAAAACGGGCTGGAAGCCTATTGAGACTTTTATTGTTAATTGGTTTTTCGAAAAAGTTCCATACCTTGTGAAATCGAGCATTTCATGTTTACTTGATTATATAAAATAATAGGCAAAATCCGCAAAAAGAAGAAAAGTGGCTTCGAGCAGAAATTAGGATAGGTAACTCGAGCAATACGTATTTCTGCTTGTTGGCTTCATCAGGCCCGAAATGAATGCACATATGCAACCTCAAAAGTAGATATATATGCCCATACATCCGAATACCGGTGGAACCTGAGGAAACGAAGATGAAAAGGGTAAAAAATGACACACGAGGTCTCCAAACTCTCCCCCACACTTTGCTTCCTTTTGCGGATTTTGCCCATTATTTTCCTATTTTTTGTTATATACCTTTCTCCGCATGATCATTTTCTGTTTAAATATGGTTTGGGTTTGAGGTACCACAGCAAGTGGCTATAACCGGCCGCGTGGTTGTGGTTAGATGTCGCCTTGACTTTTCTTCCAGCCATTTTTTACTACAATGTGTAGGTTGGCTCTTGATAGGGACTTCGTGTATCATTTTTTTTCCTCTCCATTTTCGTTTCCTCAGGTTACACCCGTATCCGGATGTTTAGACATTGTAGTATAAAATGGCGAAGACCTCGAATATTCAAGGCGACATCTAAGAACAACCACGCGGCCGGTTATAGCCACTTGCTGTGGTACTTCAAGCCCAAAGGATCTACAAAGAGAAAATGATCATGCGGAGAAAGGTAAATAGCAAAAAATAGGAAAGTAACGGGCAAAACCCGCAAAAGAAATGAAAGTGTGGGGGGGGAGTGTTGGGGACGTCGTGTGTCATTTTTTTCCCTCTCTATCTTCGTTTCCCCAGGTTCCACCCGTATCCGGATGTATGGGCATGTGGATCTACTTTTGTGGTTGCATATGTGCATTAATTTGGGGCTGATGAAGCCAACAAACAGAAATACAAATTTGCTCGGGTTGCCTATCCTATTTTCTGCTCGAATCCACTTTTCTCCTTTTTGCAGATTTTGCCCATTATTTTCCTATTTTTTGTTATATTCTTTTCTCCGCATGATCATTTTCTCTTTATATATAGATATAAATATAGTAAATGATTACAAGAATGCTTCTTTCTACGCAAGAAATGTTACTTTTTGACTGCACATTTTCTAGTAGACATGATATTAACAAATAAGATCTTATCAACAAGAAATTTGATCGGTGAAACTGAAGACCTACATGACCTTGAATGACAATACCATAAAGGATCTTATACGGTGGTCAAAGTAATTTACGCTAGAATGTATACTTCAAGCTCCATATTCACAAGAATATACCGTACCTGCTGTAAAAACATACATACTAGGGTTTCATGTCCAGATATACACGAAATGATCATCATAAATTCCCCATAAAAAGTAATATCTGTGAAGAGCCAAGTGTAATTTTGCTCTAAACCCCTGGCCGACTTATTCCGGCCATCGCTGACGCCGTTCCCATCATGTCCCGGCCTCAAGAAATGCCTCTTGGAACTGCGCCAACAGATAAAGGGGTATAGTCAAGAAATGCGCCGTAAAGTTCGTGCAATGGTCAATATCTGATGAATATACAGGGTACTCAGTGACCAATCGACTGTAATGAATATTACAAAGGTAGTGAGTCGCGTTAAGAGAAAGAAAGTTAGTACAGAAGTAGCTGTTATAAGGGTTTTATCGAAACCTTTGACAAATAGTAATCACTTTCCTATCAGAGTAACGACATGCTCTGAGTAGAGTTTCACAAGCCATCGCAGGATGACGTGATCACTATTTTTGAATTGCATCTGTTTGCTGTTCCGTTCCTACGACCAAACGAATGTGACAGTGATTTATGCCTATTAGCAATTATCAAACATATCACTTAGCTAATGTGATCCAGATGTTAAGGCCATCCTCAAATTAAGTTCTTGTTGCACTACCCCGATTTGGTAAAAACGATAAAGTTATGTCTGACAATAGTGCTGCATTGTAGTAGGAAATATACAATATAATTACAATTATTTTACATTGTCATTCTCAAAATGGCCTCCTTCTGAAGCCACAGCGCTGGAGGCGCTACTTCTACCCCTCGCAGCAGAGCTGGAACTCCGACATGACTTCAGCTGGTCGGTTACAGTCGTTTGAATGTTTTTGTCTGTTCCAAAATCCCTTGAGGTGATTTCTAAACTTCTGGAAAGAAGTGTCAAGGTCCCTATTCAGGCTAATAAGTAGGCTAGGGAGCCACAGGAATCTTTCTACTGGCCAGAAACTCATATACTGGACATGGCTGTGTGACAAGGAGCATTATCGTGATGTTATTGATCTGATGAACGGCGGTAAGAGTCAAATTTAACTCTTCCCCGATCATTCTGACTGTCAACCGACGATCTTAAGGCACAAGATCCCTGATTCTGTCGATATTTTCATCGGTTCTTTTCGTGGTTCGTCTTCAATCGACTCTCTCCCTTCTGAAAATGCCTTACACCACCGGAAAACCGGAGCTCTTGACAACGCTTTTTACTCCGAATTGAATTATAATTTTATTTGAGGTCTTTAATTTTGATTTTTTGTTCGAGCATCTATTACTGGAATATAAACTCTTTGTAATTAAAAATTGTTTACTTTTTAGTTTCGGTCAGCTATAAAAGCGTGTTTTTTGTTTTTTTAAACTATTATTTCTTAGTGAACTTTTAGATTCTTCTATCCGATATTCTTTCTTTCTATTAACCGGTATCCAACTTCACATAGATTGTTGTATTCTTGCATAAACCAATACACTCAAAAAATATCGGATTTTTCAACTTTTCATTTTGAGAATTTTCTAAATAACCGCCGAAATTGTACGCTTCTCGGCAGCTAACATAACAGTATGACTTCGGGAGTTCAGCAATCTGACAGCAATACAATTCGGCACCGAAATAATTGTAGATATTATGGACAGAAACTGTTTCATATCTGGAAGTAAAAAATTCTAAACTCCGTTTTTACAGATTTCTAAACACGACAAACCTTCAATATCACATTATCTCAGGAACTATCGAATGCATTATACTGAAATAGGACTAAGATAAAAGACGGACGGTTCAAAAGCCCTGGTCTATCATCTTTTTTTTGTTTTTTTATCAAAATCAACACCTTTAAGATGAATATTGAAATTACGTTTATATTGCCTATGTACAAATAAACCAACAAATTAATATTATTATATACGTATCTTTTATTTATCTTATTTTTCAAGTGTTATCAACTTGGTTTCATCAGCATTTTACAAAATAATGCGTAAAATTGACATGAAGATGTTTTTGGAACTCAACATTCCAGACTCCGTTTCAGTTTGTTTTATTAACTGCAGTGCCCTATAAGTCTTACTCTGAACGTATTATTATTTCATAGAACAAAGCGCAATACGTGATGTTAATGAAAGGGAAAATTATGTTTCTGTGTTAAAAATCCACATTAACGTAGCGCACAGGTCCTAACTTCACATAAAATTGTGTGATGCACCATGTATGTATTATGCACCTAAGTTTAACGTAAATATACTGAAAATGCCTCCCGACCTGTTTAGTAAATATTTATACATTTTCATCACAATCTTGACTTGGTCTGGAGAGTCAAATTCAGTGCATTTTGTGCAAATGCCGTTTATTTTTTAAGCAGAAGTTTTTCATCATTTGGTTAAATCATTAAAATTACTGAATAAACTAAATAGGGTGCATAATGTGAATGACTCCTCTTATTTATTGCTCCTTTTTTCGAAATAATGAATTCAGAGTATAACATACAGGGTGTTGCACTTATTAAAATACTAGGAAATAAAAAGAGTTATCGAGACATCTTTAATTTAATGTTAATGATTATTCTGTAAAATGCTGATGAAACCGACTTGACAATCCTTGAAAAGTGTTGTGTCACATAAACCTTTAGAAATAGAAAATTGTATAAATAAAAATATTTAACCAAGAAATGTCAATCGATTTTGATAATTGACTCATTGGCTTTTTTTAACATAGCCAAGAATTTCAGCTTTCAACTTCAAAGGTGTTCATTTTGATAAAAAACAAAAAGGTGAAAAAATCTAGTCCTGCCCTGAGTTTTAAACCGTCCGTTAAGTTTCACGTTACTCCCAGAAGCAAAATTCCAACAAAATCGATTCAACCGTATTTTAGATATGTGATACTACTACTAGGTTAAAAATGCCATACAGGTGTAGCACTATAACCGGTAACACTTACAATATTGCCGGATGTTGCTAGCTACTGCAGCTAGATAGTGCAGTAAAAATGTTCCTTCTTTAAGGTGGCACGTCACTTTTTCTAGATTTTTTTGTTTGTTCAACTTCCTGTTTGTAGCAGTATACTAAATCCTTTTTATCTGATAATTGGGTATGTATAGAGATGACTAAAGAACAATGTTTTAATTTTTTTGTCAGAAAATGCATTTTTTGAGCATTTTTTCTTCAATCGGAACTTATCGTTAACAAATATCAGTACAGATCTGAAATTGTGTGTGAATATTAATCTTTTATGGAAGAATAAAACGAGTAATTCTTTTGTTCTTATTACTTTTCCTTTTCGAAACATCTTTGCTTTTCATGAAACCTCACCTTGCTGCGAGACAAGGCTTCAAGAAAATCAAAGATTTTTTGGAAAGCAAAAGTGATAAAAACAAAAGTAATCATTCGTTTCATTCTTTCATAAAAGAGGAACATTCAGTCTCAGAGGTGTACTTATATTTGTTAACAAGTTCCGATTGAAGAAAGAATGCACAATAAGATGCACAAAAATTGACAAAAAAAAAATGGAAACATTGCTTCTCAGTCATACATACCATGAAATTTTCAGATGAAAAGGATTTAGAATACTGCTGCAAATAGGAAGTTGGAAAGAAATCTAAAAAAAAGGAAGTGCCTCCTTAAGGGCTCCGTAAGAGGGTTGACATACATTGGCCACACATTGTTCTATCTGAAATACTATATACCTTGTGGAATGACGGGAAGAATTAAATCAGTACCTATCTTTATCTATCAAAAACCCTCGTGATGGTAAATGAGCACCTTCCCAAATGACATATCCCGCAAGCTTCTAGTTTTCCCCAAGCACCAGCTATTCTAGTGATAAACTTCCTCGCATGTATCAGCACAGATAGCACCAGTACTACCATCCGCACGAGCACCGGCACAACTGCATCCGTAGAAGATCACGTAGAGGATGCTGATGATGATTGGCTAGAGGAGCTCCTCGCAGGCGCAGCTGATTGGCCGACAAAGGATGGAGCTCGACTACCGGGTGAGAGTTTCCTTCTATGGGAGTCTTGATATAATTTTGTTTGTGTGTACACCAAATAGGAATCAAGCGTGCATTATGGCATCTGAACTCAAAAATGTTAGCACTGCAAATGTTTTCCAAACGCCCCAGAAAAAGTAGGTCGGAATGAAGGCATTAGTAGGAATATTGGTATTTGTCGTACGCGAAAGGAATGCATACAGTGTCATGTAGATTTTCGAATTGGAGATGATGAACTGTATGGGTGTCTTATAATTTTGCTTTTCTACTTTCCACGCAATTGGCAAGGAAGTGTTGAAAACGCGGAAAATTTGAATAATGAGATTTTATTTTTTTATGTTAAATCACATATACTTCACGAAGAATCGTGTTACTCGTTTCCGTATTGGTCTGCCTGGTTGTCGCAATAACTTGGAAAATATTGGTCCGACTTTTATGAAATTTCCACACAAGATTACTACTATTCCAAGGACGAAAAAGCTTAATAGTTTTTGAAAATCGGTATACTGGCGGCAAAGCTAGAGATGGAAACAAATAAATATCTCAAACTTCTATTTTTGACGATTCAGGTAATCCTCTTATTTTTAGAAATCTCCTGGAGAGGTTATCTGCATCTTTCATGTCTGTGAACGACGTTCCATTATTAAGAAGGATCTGATACTGGCAATACTATGCACATATGAGATATAATAGTTGTACACACTTATATATGTGATATGCCACAATTGGCTCCACAGCGAATCAGATAAATACTAAATCCCAGGCTACCTCGGTGCGATAGTCAATTTCATAGTTAGTCATAGGAGCAAGCGACAGGCGGCATACACAAATATATACGAGATGGACGAGTTACATGATTTCGAGCTTAATATTCATGGTCAGTTGTTTTTGAACTGTTGACAATAACATAAATAAAAATCATGAAATGCCACTTGCTCAACTGCACTAGTGGGTTAAAAGTTTCTTCAGGATTAAGAGTACTCATGTAGCGAGATATAATAATCACTTATCAAACGTTGATAACAAACAGTTTTACGTTCCACTCCAGCATTGTTGGTTCTGGCACAACCTACGCCTTATGTAGTCTTATGAAGTGACAGTGTATAGATAGAATTGCACTTCATGCAAAATTGTACTATAAATCGTTGCGGAGGCATGGGAAAAGTCAATCTACTTGACGCCATTACAGAATGTGAAAATAACAGTTTCAATCTAGTCGAGGTTTTTAGATCTATACTGCTGCATTCCTTACCGAGACTATTAAAACTACTGAGCACTTGGCAAACTAGTATACCGATACGTGTCAGATGTTAAAATTTGTAGAACGGAAATATGTCGTCAACTATCATAAACAACCCATCAATAACAGAAAACACTAGATCCCCGCTGTCTGTACCATGCAAAAGTTGCATAGACAGGCTAAATGGATCCGTTTGCTGTCCGTCCTTGTGACCAACCATATACAAAGACGTTTCAAGCATGTTTTGCATACTACTTGCGCACTACCTACTGACTTTTCAATGAGCTCTGTTTGAAACGCTGCCGTATACGGGTGATCGCTGGAACGAAAAACAAACAAACCCCATTCAACCTGTACTTATGCAACATTTGCGGAATTCACTACTGCTCATACTATGGTGGGCACTTAGTGCTCCATCTGATCGACGAGTTGTTAAAAACATTTCAAAAAGGCAAACAGACAAAGTGTAGGTATATCTACCAGGCGTACCTACCATTGCTAACAAACCTAAAATTCAGTATCAAAATATTTATTTACTGTATCAAAACAGCAGCTCTTCAAACATAATGATATAAATCATAATATGATTAATATTTAAGATGTAATGTAATGTGATTTTGTATAGCTAGAAGATTGGTGTTTCTAGTCTGATATGAGTGTTGATAGCCTAAATTTGTGAATGATGTATTATACAGTATACAGTCAATATATTATTACATTTAAAAACTTGAGGACGTTTTTCATATTGTAAATAAGCCTTAGAATTCATTTTTGAGACATAAACACTATCTAACTTATTCTACTCCTTCCTCACGCCATTATGTTGTATGAAATACGAGAATGGACAAAGCTATAATACACATTCAATAGATCCTTATGATCGAGAATGCTTTTCAGTTGTAGGACTGCATAAAATGCTTTAGACGTGGTCTATGTGATCGCCAACAGACAGTTTTGAGTAAAAAAAGGTGCACAGCAGTTTGGGGGACTGAGTGACCTGAAAGTTACTAATCATTTTACATGGAAATGACGGCTGAGTTGTACAATCTCCCTCGAGATGTGAGCAGGCAGATGGTTTAAACAAAGCAGAAAATGCATTGGACCCAGAACTGAGCCTTGAGGTACGCCAATGCCCAAAGTGCAAGGCGTCCTTTCTATTGAAGACTAACTCAAGCAGTAATATAGTGTAAGTAATAAGGGCTCCCCGTTGCTAATACTAAGTTTTCCTAAATATAGGAGTAGACCGGGCTCCTTGAGCCATCGCAGTGGCAGCCGGTCTAGAGACGCTGACCTGAACAAGACAGCAGGACCTCAAGGAGCCATTTTAGGTCGAGGCGGTACCACCCGCTAGCTTAAATGTGTCTTATAAATGTTCGCATGCTTCCACACCTGAGCTACGCAGTCGGTTATCATCCCCAACAAAGAAATGAATGATGATGGATCCCTAGAGTACTAATTCCGGACGTAACCACACTCCACTCTCGCAATGTCCGGGTGGAGGGTGGACTCTAAGGAACAACATCCAGGATAAAATTTGTTTCACGAACATCTGCAGGGAACAGCAGTATTGATGCTGTTCATAACTACTTGCAATGCAATCGTCCCGCCATGCTTTTCTTGGCGGAGACAAAAATCTGTCTGCACCGATTAAGCACCTTAGCTTCCCAAATTACGAGGTGCACTCTAATCTGAGAAAGAACGGGGGAGTTGTGGCTTTTGTCCGCAGCAGTCTTTCCTGCTCCAGAGATGTCTCTTTGGAATCAGACTGGACGGATATTCTGTGGCTTCAAATTCAAATTCAAATTGCTTTACTATTTCCGAACACTATATATAAGTATAGAGAGGAATACGTGATAAGTATCACATATAATACTTCTAAAAAGTAAGGCCAAATGAAAAACAAACTAAAAGAACAACAGACAAACTGAAAACATAAAACTTAAGTGCATGTGAATGCCAAGTTAATGGACCGCCTGACAATTGCAGTATTTCAGGTCCTTCAGAAAGGCAAGGAACTCATCTATGCTGTAGAAGGTGTTAGATAACAGCATTCTCTTAAGGTGCTTTTTGAAAGCATAACATTATCTATTTGTTTAAGAAATTCTGGTATTATTGTATATTCGTGTATCAGCATATCTAGGCGACTTTTCGTGAGTAGTTCAGTTATGCTTACCTAAGCAAAATTGGTTCTTATTCCTCGAGTTATAATCATGAAAATGTGAGTTTTTTGGAAAGAGCATTTGTTTTTATGAGTACAGAATAGTAATTTTAGCAAATAAATTGAGGAGACGGTCAAGAGTTGATATTTCTTAAAATAGACTCTACAGGACGCCCTGAACGATAAATTAAACATGTTTCTAATGACTCCTTTTTGTGTGATGAAGACTCTGTCGATAGTTGAGGCTTGTCCCCAGGCAACAATATTATATGACAGGACCGAGTATGTAAACGCATAGTAGACACTAATTAGGGTTTCACGACTTACACAATTTTTTAGACTATTTATGACGAAAGCACCTGTATTTTACTTTTTGCAAACCCTGTGTATGTGGGTTTCCCAGTTTAAGTGGCTATCCACCAATAAGCGCAAAATATTTGTAGACAGAGAGAACTCGATGTTGTAGCCATTAAGGGACAAGTTAACATTACAGAATTGCTTCATCACCGATCTTATATTCATAGCTACAGTTTTATCGTGATTAATCACTAAATTGTTTAGATTACACCAGTTAGCAAGCTCTTGGAGCACTGTATTCACCTTCAGTTGCAATTCTGTTTCAGATACAGCAGAAACTACTGCAGTAGTACGTATCATCCGCATATAAAAGTACTTCGCCTCCAGTGATGTGGTCTGGTTCGCTTTGCCTCAATTCCAAAACATTCCCCAAATTTATTTGCTGCCTTTGTCGCTCTTCCTCGGACCACAACTGGGGTGACCTACTTGAATACCTCGCTGTAAAAATCGACTTCCTGAACATCAATCACTCCGCTTCAGAGGTAGTTCTCCTCTGTGATTTCAATGCTCGTAATGAGATCTGGTTGGGCTCAAACAAGACCGATGCAGTAGGTCATGCAGTTGAAGCGTTCGCGACAGTTGCTGTGAAAAAGCCAGGCTATTTGTTTATGGCTAAGCAGTACTTTTCTCCACATGACCTTCTCATTCTATACAAGGCCCAGATAAGGCCTAGCCTCGAGTATTGCTCACACGTTTGGGGTACTGCCACCCCAACTACATTATTTATGATCGATGCTGTCCAGAGGAGGGCGGTCCGACTGATCGATGACTCTTCTCTAACAGACAGTCTCGGGACTCTTACGCACCGGCGGGCCGTCGGCGACCTAGCTGTCTTCTACCGGTACACCAACGGGCTTTGTTCCTCTGAGCTCTCTTCAGACAGACCCGCCTGACTTTGACCTCCTATCCTAGCCGTGTCGAACATGGTACGTCTAGAACTGGCCGATACGATCGCTCCTTTGTCCCGAGGGTGTCGAGATTGTGGAAAAATCCACAAGAGGAAACTTGTCCCAGTTCTATTAACCTTAGGCAGTTGGATTAACAAAATTTTTTTGGGATCCTCATAGCACTCGCAGCATTTAGGCTTCTGCCTGCGCGGCTGCTTCGGTATAAAATTCACCATAGAGAATCAAAGTCGACAAATAAGTAAGAACATTAAATAATAATCAACTCTGTTAATAAACAAAACACTATTCACGCTATTGAAAATGCATTTATTATTCTCTACCTATCTACTATCAAAACAGC